ATAGCAGTGTGAAGTCTATCAATAAGAGAACTCTCAGCCTCAACAATTCTCAATTATTTGAGCTGCTTACAGCCTTATTGGGACGAATACACATGCACACGCACATGCACACATGCGCGCACACGCGCATATATTAAGTAAAGAGCAAGCCAGTATATACCAAAGAGTAGATTCCTAGTGCCAGCAATCAGCCTCCAGCAAGATCTAATTAGGTGTGAACTATGTGGCAAAGGGACCTAGTGCAGGGAGAGGCCAGTTGTAGCTGGAGGAAATGGGAAAGGAGTTGGAGTGAAGTCTTGAAGATGAGTAGGGCTACAAACAGATGGAGGATAGAGAAGACCGTGAGTTTCTAAAAACTGTAAGACACGTCTAAAACATCTAAGTCTTGCTCTTCTCATTGCAATCTTCTCATTAGAAGTTATATCTCCATATGAAAAGCTACATTTTTACCTTTCTTTCTAGGGAATATGTTATCACCAAAGCAGTTCTTGGCACATATGAGAGACTCACTAAATATTTGTTGGTTAAATGTATGAATTACCGGGCTTTATAGAAAGACCAGACCTGGGTTCAGATCTCAGCAGTCTTTCTTACTATGTGACCTTGTAAAGGCTACTTATCATCTCTATGGTTTCCTTTCCATACCAGAACATACTTTTATGTTGAGATGTATCACTGCTTCTCACGGTGGCTCCTCAGTGAAAAGACCAGGGCGAGCATCTTCTGTTGCAACACTGCTCTCCTGACGATCACAGTCCGACACCTTTCACAAAGTGGATGTGCATTCTTGGCGTGAAGGGAGTTTACTGAGATATCACTATCATAAAAATAGGCTGATAATATCATCATGCCTACAGCATCTTCCTTTTATTGGATATTTTCTTCAGGATCAGTTTCAAAATTTGGACTCACTGAGTCAAAGGCAATGAACATATCCAGGGAAAACTCAACATCTCAGAGGGGCGGTCCGGAGGCAGTCCCACCCAGCGGCAGGATGGAGCATAATTAGAAGAGCCCAGTTCAGCTGATGAACTTCGATTGGACGGAAAGTTCTGCTGGGGCTTGTCAGCAGATTCTGCTTTGCAAAGTGGTTTTCTGGTAAAAACTCTTTCCTAGTTCTAAATTAATCTAAATTAGTCTTTCATCCCGCCGCTCTCTCTCACCTCCCAAACCTTCCCCCATCACCTCTGGAGTTGCTTCAGTCCCAGATTAGCAAGCGATACCATCTGAGGGTGGTACAGCTAGCTGGGGTGTTGACTAATTATTTCCTGGGCGGTGTGTGGGCCCGTCCTCACTCCTCAGCTGCCAGAGTTCCTTTTGATATCTTTCTGCACTAAAGCTTTCCAGTGTGCTTATCAGGTAAATTATGGATACTGCTTCAAGTTCCAGCAAAAAAAGGTAAAATCCATAGTACTGCAACAAAGGATGGCATTTCCAAGAGTGAGACGTAAGCGCACAGGACTCTTCTTGAAACCAAATCATGCGTGCGTGCATGTGTGTACATGTGTGTTTCTCTCAGGGTTTTTACTTCCCAGAGTATTCAGGTCATTCACCAATATTTCGTGTCCAAAAGCATGATCTTCTCCTTTCTCGTATTTGATCTTTCCCAGAGTTCTCTAATTGGTGAGCAGTACCATCCATCCCTCCAGTTGGGCAAAGGCAGACACCTGGGAGCTATTCTTGATGCCTCCTTTTCCTTCAACACCTCCATCCTCTCCTCATTCCATCTATCCAATCTGTAGCATTTCATCTACTAACCCATCTCTGAATCAGGCCACGTTCTCTCTCTCCACTGCCACCACACTGGTTCAAACCACCGTCACCTCTCCCCCGGAACCCGTGGTAACTGGGGTCCCTATAACGTCTTGCGATAGAAGAGATGCGCAGCCCAGATCCCCTTCAAGGGAAGACTTATTGACCAGCTGTGGGGCGTGTTGACAGCAGACGGCCTCCCACTGTTCCCGCAGAGTCTGCCACAGCTTCCAACAGCCATCTCACCGGGGGTCATGCCTTTCCCAGGGCATCCCGTATAGGTGACCGGCCACAGTGGGAAGTGCGAATGCATGGTCCTTTTAGCCAGCTGTGGCACAACTTTGGTTGACGACACTGTAGAGCCCTCCAGTAGGTTGGCCGAGCCCTTGGCAGCAGAGGCTCTATCACGCTGTCTCCTCCTGGAGAACTCAGCCTGCAACACCCCTCATCCTGTCTCCACCCCGCATGCCGCAGCCATGGTGATGTGGGTGCGGTGTGAGTGAACGATAGCAGGTAACCTCCTCAGTACTGCTCTATTGCCTTAAGGCTAACGCCCCCAATCCTGAACATGGGTATGGGGGCCCTTCCTACTTGCTCTCTCATCTTGCACTCCTCCCTTGCTCTCCACTCTACAGCTCGGCCACACTGGCTCTGAAAGGTCCCTGGGGCTGCTGGAATCAAGTACCACAGGCCCGGTGCCTTACACAACAGAACCTCATTGTCTCACGGTCCTGCAGGCTGGACGTCCACAAACACGGCCCCCAAACCGTGAGGGAATCCTTCCTTGCCTCTGCCTAGCTTTTGGTGGTTTGCTGCCATTTTGGCACTCCTTGGCTTGCAGAGGCATCGCTCCAAGCTTCCATTAGTGCATGGCCTTCTCACTGGGTCTGTCTTCGCACGGCCACCTTCTAAGGACAGCAGTCACCTTGCATTCGGGGCTTTACCATACTTCAGGATGACCTCATCTTAACTGCCTGCCTCGGCCACAACCCTATTTCTTTCTTTTTTTTTTTCACAACCCTATTTCTAAACAAGGTCAAATTCTGAGGTACCCGGGCTTAGGACCTCAACATCTTTATTTATTTATTTAAATTTATTTTTTTTTAAGATTTTATTTATTTATTTGAGAGAGAGAATGAGAGAGAGCAAGCACATGAGAGGGGGGAGGGTCAGAGGGAGAAGCAGGCTCCCTGCCGAGCAGGGAGCCCGATGCGGGACTCGATCCCGGGACTCCAGGATCATGACCTGAGCCGAAGGCAGTCGCTTAACCAACTGAGCCACCCAGGCGCCCTCAACATCTTTTTTTATTTAATATATCTTTGTTGAGGGGACACGGTTTAATCCATAACAGTGGCATTCATTCAGTTCCTGAAAGAAGCCACACTCATCCTGCTTCAGGCCTTTTGTATATCCTGTCCACAGCCTCCTGTCTCCTACCCAAGCCTGTCATCCTCTTGATCCCAGTTGAAAACTCATTCTCCTTAGGCAGACTTTTCTATTTCACCTCCCCCTGCAAGCTAGGTCAGCTCTTTCCACTCACAGCACTTTGTATTTTTTTTCCCACAGCCTTTACGACTACTTGTAATTATACATGTGTTTGAGTAAATATCTTGACAATGGCTGGCTGCTCCACTAGCCCACAAACCCCATGAAAGGGGAGACTGTCTGTCTTGCACACTATGTATCTCCAACGCTGAGCATGGTGCCTACACATGGTAGGCACACCATACATATGTATGAAATCAGTGATTAGGTTTTCTCTCTCCTGCCAGTTTTAAGTCTCAGGTGTCCTTGTTTCCAGGAGATATGGTACTGGACCCACCCAGTTAAGACAACACCTTGCGAGGAAATGAGGAAGACGAAGAGAGTAAGTCCCAGCTAATGGTGCTTGAAGTTGACCCCTAAGATACTCCCGTGAAAGAGAGCATATTCCTAGCAGACAAAGCCTTCTTCCAGGGACCTGTTGCAAATCTGCTACCCAACATGGAAAATGGGCAAGAATTATATGACCCTGCTGAGTTGTGAACTTTCTTGAAACCAGGACCCTGCAGAAACCCAGGCTCCTGCCAGAAAGCTTAATGAATAACAAGGGGCAATATACTATTCCCTAAATTTTCCACCTAGAGGAGAGAGGGTGCTTCATTCATGCAGGTGACATTTGGAAAGGTAGAGCAGTGGAAACAGTCCAAGTACATGAAAATAGGAGGTTGAGGTTGGAGGAGGTGGAGAAGAAAGTTCCAATTAAGATGTTATTAAAATATATCTATTAAATAAAGGGTGACTGCCAGTCAGCTGATTATTTATTGAATAGAGGAGCGAGTAGTTCTTATTTGATGAGGCTCATTTCAGTTCTTTATGTGCTATGCTTTCTGAAGCTTCTTTTTTTTTTTTTTTTTTTTTTAAGATTTTATTTATTTGCAAGAGAGAGAATGAGAGACAGAGAGCATGAGAGGGAGGAGGGTCAGAGGGAGAAGCAGACTCCTTGCTGAGCAGGGAGCCCGATGCGGGACTCGATCCCGGGACTCCAGGATCATGACCTGAGCCGAAGGCAGTCGCTTAACCAACTGAGCCACCCAGGCGCCCCTCTGAAGCTTCTTTTTTTCCCCTTGAAGATACCCTTTGGGTGAGGTACTGTTCCCTCTTGTCTTTCCACTCAGTGGTTCTTATCTCCCTTTGTGGTCGGCTACAGCCACTGTCATCCCATCCTTGGTGGGTACCAAGATTTCTCAGGGACAAAGACATTTTCTAGTTGGAGGTATTCCCATCACACAGTCACACATCACACAGAGAAGCAGGTCTAAGAAGAATAATTCATATTTTGAATTCTTTAAAATTGTTCTTCTTTCTAACCTTCCCAAGTACATGACCTTTATCACAAAATGCCTCCAGAAGATTAATGTAAAAACGGAGAGAATGTAAAAAGAATTAACAAGGAAGTAATCAGCTCCAGCAATCACAATTTAGGCACCAGGACAATAGCTTTGCAACCAAGGCTACTATCTTGCGAGATGGTTTTCCAAATTCTTTTGTCTCTCTCCCTAGGTATCAGCATCTCAGAGAGTGCTTCCATGGGATGGAGAAGAGACTCTTGCCCTGATGGGAGCCAGCTGCACTCCGTGCAAGAAGAAATGGAGCAGAAGCAAAAGACAAGCCCTCCACTTTCTGGTCCAGGGAATAGCAGGAGACAGAAGGAGCCTGTGGAGGTAGCAGAACAAAGCTGTTGTTCCAGCCCGTTACCTCCTGGGGGACTTAGGAGAGCCATGTATTAGATAAGTCTAGGAGAGCCAAGAAGACTGGAGGCTCTTTTCTGCAACCTATTGAAGTGGGAGGAGGAGGCTAAATCCCAGGCTGTATACACTGAGCCGGCGGACCGAACTCTCACCCGATGGCCCAGCAGAGTCAGGGAGAGGCAGGCCCTGTGGCTCAACTTTCCCAAGTCATCTTTGTCCCCAGTGTGGTATAGACAGGTTTCAGAAATACCTGGGAGTCCAGTGGAGGAGTTTTCTAGAAGGATCACCATGGCAAGGATGAGGGATCCTGGTACTTAGGCTACTGAGGGAAACACTCAAGCCAAAGCCAAATGGGAGTCTCATCAGAGGAGTTTCCGATGTCTGAGAGAGCCAAGGTAAGGGGGAGTCAGTCAGAGGGTCTTGAAAGCCCTGACTAAGCTGAGTCCAAGGGAGGCGAGGGGGATGTGACAAGGAACAAAGACCCTGACTCTTCCCTATGGCCGTGAGGTTGCATAAACCACCACCACCTCTCATAGATACGTCTGGACACATCTTTGGGAACAAAAGAGACAGAGGAAGAATTTTATCTGAGGGACTGAGCAATTTTATCCCAAAGAGGTTAATCTAAATAAACTTTAATTTGAGGTTTAATATTGAGTTATGCTTAAATTTGAACACTTACCTTTTCTCTTTGCTAGCCAGTTGGCTGTGGGTTTGAAGCAGGAAAGGCCATTTTAGATATAAGAAAAATAAAGGATATTTTCTCTGTGCATCCAAGTTAGAGTGTAGAGTTAATATTCTGTTTCTGACACAAAGGAATAAAGGAACCATGAAATCACTTGTCAAAAATCTCAGCAATGTTTAAAAAACCAAGCAACCAGTTGCTGCAGGGTCAGATGGGTCACATTCCAAAAGCCCCCACCAATGGGGCTGACTGCAGTTTTCACAACTACAGAGAATATAAGAAGAAATTCAAGGAGTGACCGGGATGGTGGGTTCCTCTGGCAATTATTCTGTTCTCCTCTTTAGAGAGAGGAGCCCATACTCCACGCTCAGTCAGAACCACCGTCTAAGGAGTAGCTCAACTAGGCTACCCACAGCGGGAACCAGGTCACTTCCATGAACATGGGACCTGCTCATTCACTTCCCCTCCTTGGCAATATCGACCGGGGTTATATCAGCAAAATGGTTTGTTTAAAATGACTGAGCCCACTGTATGTGATAAACTATATACACATTACATTACAAAACTATTAACTTAAGCATATATTTATAGTAGGAAAACATAGTATACAATTAACACAACTACATGAGTCTGCTGTTCGCTACCTGTCCCTCCCCACAAGGACAAGCCACGGTGACTTTGTCAGTCTCTTCCTGTTTCTGTTCTATATTCCTTTATTGGGTTATCCTTGTTATTCCTCCATGGATTTCTTGCATGTTATGCTGGGCCCTGTTCTACCATGATCCTGTCTGGTTGCCAAGGGCATGTCCTCTCACTGTATGAGAACTGAGACAATCATAATCAGTGAGCTCTGTGCCCTTCCACCTGCAAAGTCTTCATCTTCTGTAACTCTGGCCAGCCCTGGTTTTGTTTCTATTTGTACAACACACTGATGTGTAAGCTATAGTTCTTACCTGGTCAGGTGCCTATTGCCAAAGGTCAGCGAATGTCCTCTTGCCATTGGTGCTGAACAGAGCCTTCTTTCAAACTCCTACTAGAAAGAGGAGAACTCCCAGGCGAGGTGCTTCCATTCCCCCACTCCATTACTCAGAAGTTTTTACTCTGAATAGCGTCTCTGTCCCACCGGTAAGTGTCCTGCCAGATACAGCATGGGGACTCAAAGTTGCCCACTTGTCCCTCAGTGTTTTCCTGCTTAGTCTATAATTCTCTCTGCATATGTAGATGAAGCCCATTCTTACCCTTTACACTTACCCACATGCTTGTTATTCGCAATGTTGAGCCCTTGAGAGTATCATTAGAAAACTCTGCAAGAGTACAGTCCAACTCGAGGGGAAATTCCTTGGGGACAGGGATGTTGCTTCCTACTTCCTTCAGTTCCCTCGGTGCCCAGCAAAAAAGTGACTACTTTGATCTGAGATCACTTCACATTCAATTAATATTTGATAGCTAACCAGTGTTTACCAAATGTTCCAACAGGCCTGAGCCTTTCTTATACATTATCTTATGTAGTCTTCACCACAACCTTGTGAATTACGGACTATCACGTATTCCAAAATACTGATTGAGAGAAGTCAAGCAACTTGCCCAATGACTCGGCTAGAAGGCGGTAATCCCGGAATTGGAACACAGTCTCCTCCTATTTCAGTGCTGTTTCCTACACTACACCTGTTTCTCCAGTGGTCATTCTAGGCTTAAAGAACAGGGGCCCCAAGTTCAGCAGACTTGACCACTCAAGAGAAAGTCCTTGATGAGGAGAAGAACTTGGTTTCATGGAGCAGGGCCTGGAGGCCTGGGCTCATGAGAGGCACCATCTCAGCAGGTTCCCAGGTGTTGGAGAACCATCCACAGAGTAGCATCTGATGCATGTGTAAGGGTCATCTGGGCTAATCTCACGGCTCCTGCCAGGGGTAGGATAGAGAGGGATGGGGGCTGGCCTGGTGGGGTCCTCTTACCCACAGGCCAAGGCTAAGGCTTTGGCATTAGCCCTTTCCATTAAGAGAATGATATAGAATTCAGTCTCCTACCACAAGGAGGTTGTAGTCGGGTGACAAGCCTGTCCTTGACCGTGATCTAGCAGAACCCTAGGAACCATCCCTTGAGCAAGCAACGGGGCTAACCAGGCTTAGCAGGAGTTGGCAGGGCTGAAGATAGCTAGGACCCAAGTAGCTCTCTCCTCTCCCCCTGGAATACGAGCTCCATGAGAGCTGGGACCTTGAATGTCTTGTTCACAGCTGTGCCTGAGTGAACTGGCAGAATCCAGAGCGGGTTGTGACCTCTCTCGGATGTGCACGGGGGCCAGGCCTGGCCCGACAGCGGGACCTGCCTCAGGCAGCTTGTGGCTGGGAGGCCCGACCTTGGTGTGGCTTCTGCCTCTCCAGCTCGGGTCAGGGTGGCTGGTAAGCAGAAAGGCCTGGGAGCCAGGGAGAGAGCCATCGTTCTGAGGCTATAGAGAGTTGCTCCTACTCAAACTAAGAACAACTCAGCAACCCCACAGACCTGTCTGGAACTATGCCTGGCATATAGTAGGTACCCAATAGATATTGTTAAAAGGCATGATTGGATGGTTGCGCAAAAGAACCAAGAGGCATGGTGTGTCTTGTGTTTACAAAACCCCATCTGCAAGGGATACTTACACACAGGCCTTCTTTTTAAAAAGGCCTCCCCTTATGCCTTGCCAGTCCCAATTCTTTCTTCAACACATACTGTTTCCTGAAAAAACATCTCTGAATGATCTCTAAGCATTGGCCTTATGCTGGCACCTTCTTTTCCAAAGGCAAGAAAAACTGGTCTATCAAGTTTCTTAGTTTGAGTAGGAGCAACTCTCTATAGCCTCAGAACGATGGCTCTCTCCCCAGCTCCCAGGCCTTTCTGCTTACCAGCCACCCAGACCCGAGCTGGAGAGGCAGAAGCCACACCAAGGTCAGGCCTCCCAGCCACAAGCTGCCTGAGGCAGGTCCCGCTGTCGGGCCAGGCCTGGCCCCCGTGCACATCCGAGAGAGGTCACAACCCGCTCTGGATTCTGCCATTCTCATACATTCTCCTTCATGATCCTTTGTCTGAGGGAGTCTATAGTAGGTGGTCAAGAGTCTCCCCGGATATTTGAGCACAGCAAAGTCTCTTTTACTTGGCTAAGCCTGTTTTCTTATTTATAAAATTAGAATAACAATAGTATTTGCCTTAGAGGCTCTTAGGAGAACTAAATAGGAGAATATATATAAAGTGTTTAGTACAGTGCCTGGCACATAGTAAGAGCTCAATAAATGATAGCCATTATTATTCCTGTTTGGCATGGTTTGTTTGGGTGCTTTCATTGTAACAAACAAGCACAATCCACAATCTGAAATAAATGGAAAAGCTCACTCATCCTTACTGAAGTACACAACAAAACTGTGTCAGGCCCTAGATGGGTCTAGATGGGACTGGGAAGAAAGATGGGACTCAGGACACCTGAGCTGAGTCTTTAAGTTCTCTGGTCTTCACTTATGTTGATCCCTGGAATGAATCACACATACTGTCGGTTTGCCTGTCTCACTTTTAGTCTCTAAAACTCAGTCAAATGTAACCTCCAAGATGCTTTCCCTGCCTGCATGCATCCCAGGCTGGATTCCTCTGGAGACAAATTTTCAGACTAGCCTGGAGGAAATTTATAAGGCAGTGCTCTTGGGATTGATACCTGTGGAAGGGAGGAGGAGGAAGCAAATTGGGTAGAGGGAGAGGTTGAGCAGCAATGCAGTCCCAACAGAAGCCTCAGCGACCCCACAGACCTGTCCCAAATTGCAGCGAGGGGGCCAAGCCTTTGTGTTCCCAAGTTGGATCAGTCGTTGGGTGCAAGCTGCCTCTGGAAGGTGAAACCTTGGGCAAGATAGTTTCCTTCAGCCAAGATAATTCCCAAAGAGGGCTGTCAGCTGAAGGTGATCTTCTGGAAGACCGTACAGCTGGGGGGGATGAGTCCTTCCTTCCTGAAAGGGGTTTTGATTGTACAACATAGCACCCACCAACATCCTCCAACCTAGATATATCGGTAATGAAGAGATGTCAATTTCCATCTGCTTGACTCCTATCTCTCAACTGGTATATTACACGGGTGAGAAAAGAGGAAAGGAATTTATTAGGCTCCTGAACTCTCGACCCCATTACAATCTGTATTATCCAGATTGGGAGGGTCTCCTAGTTCACAGCTCTGAGTCCTTTCTTAATTGCTAAGCATTTCTGCCGTCAAGGCTAGAAGTCAACAAATGTAGAGGAATTTATGATAAATGAAGTGAGTCAAAAAATGCAAACTAGTAATTATGGAACAAGGGACGGGGGGAGTAGTCAGGGATTGAGTTTATCTCCAGATTGGCCTAGGTCTAGTTTAAGGCAATTTTTGATGTTTCTGTGGCTTTTTTGAAGAGGGCGGGTGTAAGTGGATTACAGTCTCACCTGAAAGAGCAGGGTGTTGTTTCCTGGAGCAGTCAAGTGGATCCACCGCCGTGATCCGCTGGCACCATCTCTCCTAACAAAATGTAGCTGGCGGTTCTGCTGTCTGTCGGTGTGTTCCGACAAGGTGAAACCTGAGACATGTTGAGCATAAATGCCTATTTGAATGAGTTCTGGGATCACACAGTGGATTTGCAAACATGTCTTCAATTAAAGGCTACTCTCAGGAAATTACATTGCCTTTCCACCCTAGAAAGAAAATACCCCCAAATCCAACTCCAAACCAAGAACTGAACTTATATTTTAGGCTTATAAGAGATTTTTATCAAAGGTTTCTGAGTCCCCAGGATATTTTTCAGATTTCTCATTATGCCCATTAAAAACTTCTATGAATTTTAAGAATTATAAGTAAATCCTAAACTCCTTTTCGTAGGTTTGTTTATGGTAATGATACAGGTGAAGCAATTCTGATGCTATTGGATATGTATTGTGAGATTGAGAAGTGAGAACACATTGCTGTTGAGATCCAGGGTTTTCACTACAAAAGAAAGAACATACAAATACAGATGGATATGAGTATGAGGGGATGGATGCACTAATTAACTAGATGCTGGAAATCCTTTCCTGATATATATCAAATCACCATATTGTACGCTTTAAATATCTCACAATTTAGTCAATTAAGCCTTGATAAAGCTAAGAGAGAAGGATTGGGGTGTATCTCAAGGACACAGGAGCCAGAGAAGAGGAACTCCCACTGGCTAAATCAGTTAAGTACAGTAATGAATAATAAAGCATTGGAAAACATAGGAATTCATATGTTCTGCCCTTTAATGAACAGATACATAAATAAATGGAGAAGGGAGAGCTCTTGCTGGAGAACCAGCTGGTAAATACAGAGGGAGGGCTGTAGCTGGAAAATGCTCACTTTGCAACTGCCCAAGATAAAAATAGGATTAGGCCAAGAACCAATAATGGAAGCAAAATCTTGGGGAAATTTTGACTAAGAGCAGAATATTTGAGCTATCTTAAAGTGTTTTCCCCACAGATGTTCATTAGTTGCAAGGAAGAAAAAATAGTAATTATAGAGTGGAGAATTGAACAACACCTCCACCAGATGATGAAAGTTAACATCACCAAGAGGGACAGATGGACAGACATCATGAGAAGGACATGGTACCACCTATGCAGTGTCCTGGCCAACCATGGGCAACCGCAGTCTCATCATGAGGAAACATCAGATAAACCTAACATGAAGGCTGTCCTAGTAACACCAAGGGGAGAGGGTTTGAATTCTTCCAAAATGCCAATATCATAAACAACAAAGAAAAGCTATGGATAAAGACCAAAGACAGACGATAACAAGCATGAGGGAAGATGTGCAGACAATGGAACACTCCTTCACAGTTGGTGAAATGTAAAATGGAGCAGCTGCTTTGGACAAGAGCCTGGCGGTCCCTCAGATTTTAAATGTTGAGTTACGGTGTCACCAAGTAACCCTTTCTACATGTATAACCGAAAGAAATGAAAACATATGTCCATATAAAAACTTGTGCATGAACGTCAATAACAGCATTATTCATAATAGCCAAAAAGTGAATAATAGGTGAACATCCATGAACTAATGAACAGATATACAAAAAGGGGTATAACCATACAATGAGAAAGAATGAAGACACATGTGGTCACATGGATGACCCTTGAAAACATTATGTCAAGGGAAAGAAACAGGTCCTAAAAGCCCACATGCCATATGATTCCATTTACATGAAATGTCCAGAACAGGCAAATCTCTAGGGACAGAAGGTGCATTGGTGGTTGCCTAGGACTAGGGGAGAAGTGGGGGTGATGGCTAACAGGTGAAGGGTTTATTTGGGGACAATAAAAATGTCTTAACTTAGGTTGTGGTGATGGTTGCATGATTCTGGGAATATGCTAAAAACAATTGAATTGTATGCTTTCAATGGATGAATTTTATAGTATGTGAATTATATCTCAATAAAAATGGTTTTAAAAGTTTGGTGGGTTTTTTTTTTTACATTTAAGATAAAATTATCTGGGTAGCAGCAAACTTTAGTAGTATGATTTATCTCTATAAAGAGCAAATTTTAAAAATAAAGAAATAAAACACACACAAGAATGGATTGAGAAGCATGGAGGCCATTTGTGAACTTGTCAGGAGCAGCTCTGGTGGAGAGATACAGGCAGAAAGCAGAATGGACTGGGTCAGGAGAACAGGAAGTGAGGAAGCAGACAGAGCACAGTGCAGGGCACACAATTCTTTCAAGGAGCTTCCATGTGGAAGGAAGTTGAGGGATGGCATGAGCGCTACAAAGGCATGTGGGGCTGGAGCATTGAGTGCTGATGGGAAGGGTCTGCTGGGACAGCCCCAGTGGGAGTAGCAGGAACTGAAAGAAGATAATCCATACAGCATACATACAGATCCAAGAGAAGTTATAGGACCCAGAATCCATGTGATACTGAGAAGCACACTTTCTCCATTGAAGAGGAAAAAGAACAGGCTAGAGGCTGGTATAGACAGGTCTGTGGCGTGGCCGTGGTAAGATGAGGAAGTTCCTAACGGCTGGCTTCTAACTGTGGAGAAGGAGAGAGGATGGGAGATTTGAGGAGATTTTATATCCCAAGTCAGTTCCATAGGAGCTGTGTGATCTTGGCAAATGTAGTGAGCATCTCTGAGCCGTTTTCCTCCTTTGTAAAGTAAATAATACCTTGGAGTGTCCTTGTGAGGATAAATTGAGATAACTGATAAAACATAGAACAAAGTGACTTTCACACATTTTGTCCTTGCTCCGTTTGCTACCACGACCAAGTCCAAGCAGAAATGAGTTTCTTAAAGGCAACCATCTTGTTTTATTAACCCTCATGTTGCTGCTCCCTCTGACAATTCCTGGCACATTGAGTAGATGCTCAGTACGTATTTGCTTTCTACCTTCACATCGAATTCTTCTCCACCAAGTAGCTGTCAGGCTAGGGATTTTCACCAGTGTCCTTTCCCTACTCCTCAAGGTACACTGGAAGGGGGTGGAGAAGTTCCTGAAGCTGAGAGAGGTCAAGTCATGCAGCCACTAATGATAAAGGTGAACCTCCAAGCCAACCCTTCATTGCGACATCGGTGTCTTCCCATTATCCCCCAGCTACCTCGTTTTGCTTTTGTCTTTTGTGTGGTTTTCCCCTCCCCGCAGGCTGGTTTCTAAGCCAGTCTCTGAGATACTGCATAGAGAACTGGGGGTAAGCCTCATGAGGGTGTGAAGCCTGGTGGTCTGCTCGCCTCTTCTAACTGCTCCCCCAACCAGCATTGCCCTCCTTCTTCCCCCACTGCCTACCCCCGGGCCTGACGAAAGTGTCTAGCACTATGGTGAGAAGGTGTGTCAAGACTTCGTTCTAGTTATTTTCAAGACCCCAATATATAAAGAGAATAAATGATCATCCTAAAGGCTAGTAAATGATCACTGAGCAAGCGAAGTTCACCCTCCAGTTTGGGCGTGATTGAAAAGGCCCCAGAGAGCTGAGTTGCCCAAATTGACTGCAGCCAGAAAAGGAAGAGTAGCAAGATCAAGGGAAAAACTGAATCTTTTGCTTTATATGTTCTGCCCTTTTTTAATTTCTTAACATTTTAATGAAAAATTTTGAACATACAATTACAGTGGTATAATTGTATAATGACCTAGTAGAAAAACCAGTGTAATGAATCCATGTACCCAGCAATTAGCAAGATTTTGCTGCATTGGCTGCATCTATCTTTTTTTAATGCAATTCCTGACTCCCTGTTATTTCACTCCCCACCCCAGTATGCAGTTTTTTAATTTTTAATTTTAATTTTAATTTTTTTTACCTAGACACAGGACCATTTTTACACCAGCAAGCTTGATAATCTCCTGATATCACCTAACACCAAATCTGTATTCAAATTTCTCTGTCTTGCTTTTTTTCTTTCTTGATTTTTTTTTTTTTTTTAACAATTGGTATATTTGAATCACAATTCCAAACCCACACGCTGCATTTGGCCGTTATGTCTCTTAAACCTTTTTAAGCTAGGGAGTTTCTCTTTCCCAAGTGTCTCCTTGATTTTTGATACCAACGCCTTGAGAGAACTAGATCCACTGTCCTAAGAATGTCCCTCCCATTCTTAGTCTGTTTCCTTGTGATGAAATTTAACTTGCTCACTCCCTGCACCTAACCCTCTCACTCCACCCCACTTCCGAACTAGAAGTTGGCACTAAACATTTGACTCCTTTGGGTTTTTGGTGATGATTCTTTGAGATGGTGCTGTGTGTTTCACATCGTACCGTATCAGGAGGCAACAGTGCTGACCGTCCCGCTCTTGCCCATGCTGAGGTTGATCAGTGGATTCAGGTGGTTGGCCTGTCCTTTTCTGGGGAATAGCGACCACAAAACTCATTGCCAAAAGTCTAATCAGGAGTATTCTTTAGGAGTGCCTGGGTGGTGCCGATCGTTGGGCATCCGATTCTTGGTTTCTGCTCAGGTAGTGATCTCAGGGTCGTGAAATTGAGCCCCGCCTCGGGTTCTGCACTCAGCGTGGAGTCTGCTTGAGATTCTCTCTCTCCCTCTCCCTCTGTCCCTCCTTCTGGTTCTCTCTCTCTCTCTCTCTCAAAATAAATAAATAAATCTCAAAAAAAAGAGTATTCTTTAATGCATTTAGGAACCATTACCTGAGTCCCAACTGTGTACCAAGCCACTCCATTGAGGAGATACAGAAATAAATTAGAAAAAATTCCCCTCCCCCCTCAACTGAGAAAACTCACTGGGATGAGGGAAACAAAATGTGAACTTCCCTGGCCTCACCCCATGAATGGCTTCTTCCTCTGTAAGCCTATAAACACTTACAAAACACAGCCTGGGGGCCAGCAAGCACTAACATTGTCTTCTAAGACATCATCTTGCTTGAAGCCTGCATGCTTCCCAGACTCCTGGTCATGATGAGCTTCTTTGTTCTCCCTACGGGAACTGGGAGATGTCTCTAAGAGCCACAAGGTGCCCAGGCCACCCTAGTTGAATCCTGAAAAGTTTGACTTCAAAACTCAATTGGCAATTGGGTTTTTTGCTCTGTGTGTCAGATTTTTAAAAGTAAACAATTTCACCTCCCATGGAGTGA